CTCCCACCCTATATGGGCTCTCCCCAAAAGCCACCCCAAGGCGGGGTACACCCCTGCCTACAGCAATTCGTGGCTGATGGAGGAGCGATTCCCGTGCCCCCWCCCACCTTCTCCCCGTTCTCTCTCCCCAGCCCACCAACTTCACCAACCCGGTTTACGCCACGCTGTACATGGGCGCCCACAACAGCCGCAATTCCCTGGCCAGCACGGACGAGAAGAGGGAGCTGCTGGCACGGGGGGACGACGATCTGGCAGACCCCCTGGCATAGGGGGATGGGGGCGAGGGGCCGCGGGGCCGCGGAGCCCGGCACAGCCCCCCGCCGCAGGGGCGGGCGAGGGGTGGGCCGGGGGTTGGGGAGGCCGACGAGCCGCTGTATAAATGTACAAATGAAGGATTATTACTTTTCTATGTGAGCAGTATTATTACCTGTATATTCCCCCCCTCCCCTCCTCCCCGGTCGCAGGCCTCGGCGTCTTCATTGCCAGACCCGGCTTTGGTTTATTTTAAATTTCTTTACATTGGGCACCCCCCYCTTTTCCTTTTCYCCTCCATTCCCCTTTCTCACCCYCTCCTGCCCCCGGGACAGGTGCGGTACCGGGGTGAACGAATCGGGGTCGGGGCTGGCGGGAGATTTGGGGTCACTGCTCCTGGGGTGGGGGGCACAGGTCGGGGGGAGGCAGAGCGGGGTGCTCCTGACCTCCCCTCCTCAAAACTGCAGCACCTCCCCTTTCCAGGGACCCCCTTTTTCCTTCCCCCGCCTAAATCTGCTGCTCCCCGGGTTTCCCCTTCTCCTGCAGCTCGGCCTCTGCAATCCACTCCCCTCTCCCCTGTTCCCATTTTCCCCCTCCTTCCCCCATTTTCCTCCTCCCTCCCCTATTTTCCCCCCATATCCCTCCCTCTCTCCCCTCCTCCTTTTCCCCCATTCTCTGCCCGACTGTTACAGGGGCCAAAATGAAGCCCCCAGCCCCGCTGCGGTGCGGGGGGGTCCCCACCCCCTCAGCCCCCCAACTCCAGCCTCTCACCTGCCCCTCGCCCGCTCTCCGACATGCACATTTTTTAACAGGAAAAAAGAAAAGATTAAAAAAAAAAAAAAAAGAGTAATTACAGAAAAA